GCCACTCCCAGCCACCGCAGACTCGACTTGTTGGGCTCCGGCGATCCTTCCGCCTCAGCCTTCCAAGTAGCTGGAACTACAGGCGTGCACTACCATGCCCGGCTAATTTTTTGATTTATTGTAGGGATGAGGTCTCGCCTGCCCAGGCGAGTCTCGAACCCGTGGGCTCAGGCAATCCACTCACCTCAGCCTCCCAAAGGGGCTGAGCCACCGAGCCCGGCGAAGTGATTTTTTTTAAAGCCTAATTAAGAAGTATCTTCAGCCTTCTGGGATGGAGTGTTCATTTCCATTCTCCTCTCTTCTTCTATTTCTCCACATCTCCTCTCCCACCTCCACAACTCCATATCTATTCCCCATTTGAATTGTACCCCTCTACAAAAAAAGACACCAAAAATATTTCTATTCTAGAGTATAAGGCAAAACCATTTCCCAGTTCTTTTAGAAACCACCTTTTCATATTGCTTTTACAACACAGGTAAATAATTAATGGTCACCATTGTTTGATTACTAGGTGGATGATAACCTGAGTTAAAGGCACTGGAATAGTACAATAAGAAAAACTTGAAAGCTTAAAAACTTAAAAATCTAGCAACAGATGTTTTCTTCCTTGCTTCAGTCAAAAACAACTAACTAGAATTGAAAACTATTTTGTTTTGTGAATCTCTTCTTTGCTGGATTAACCCTCATGCTGACAGCCATCTATCTTCTACTCATATTTGACTTGACATTTTTCTGGTCTGACATCTTTCTTGGTTTTGGAAACTCACCTTAGAAACAGACTTAGTTCTGTCTGTACCAGTTTGCCTGCCTGCTCTGTAGCAAATAGCCTACAAACATTTGTGGTTCAAGAATTTCTCTTTTGATTATGTATTTACTTCTTGGTTAGCTATTTTATCACTCAATCTGCCATCAGTTCCAGAGATAAGATACATATAAATCCTAACCTGACCAAAAAAATGGGTACTATTTCATTCACATAGTCAACAGATATCCACGTGACAGTTTAGCTGCTTTACTAGTCAAACCTTGTAGTCAAATAGGTTGAATAACTTGGTCATTTTCCCATTAACATTTTTGGAATGGATAGTATACAATGTACATGGTGAAAAAAAAAATTCAAACAGTTCAAAAAAGTATGCTGTAAAAAGACTCCTTGTATCCCCGATTCTCCATCTCTTAGTTCCCCTTCCTTGGAGGTAGCCAGCTGTCATTTTTTGTTTACTTTTCCAAATAAATTCCATGCATATATAAGGATAGATGGATGGACAGATAGGTAGATGGACCATCCCTTTCTTTAAAAAAAAAAAAGAAAACAGGCCAGGCGCGGTGGCTCAGCATGTAATCCCAGCACTTTGCGAGGCTGAGGCAAGAGGATTGCCTGGGCAACTTGGTGAGTCCTCATCGCTACGATAAATCCAGAAAAATTAGCCGAGTGTGATATCCTGCACCTGTAATTCCAGCTACTTAGAAGGCTGAGATGGAAGGATCGCCAGAGTCCAGGAGGTTGACACTGGAGTGGCGGTGAATGTGCCGCTGCACTCCAGCCTGGGCGATAGAGTGAGACTCTGACTCCAAAAAAAAAAAAAAAGAAAAAAGAAGCAATCTATTAGTTGCATTTAAAGACAGATACATTTTTCCCCCAGATCCTACTGACTTTTATTATACATAACAGTTTTCTGTTTTATAATGTGTTATATATACATAACATACAGTTTATCTACTCTTTTATGGGAGAGAAGCTAAAAAATACATTGTTTATAATTATGTAATGTAGCTAATTACTTAAAATTGAAAATTTACTTTTAGGAATAATTTATTATATCTATCATACTGGCTGTCTAATTTATTAAACTTTGGTATGGGGATGCAGATGTCCTTTAGATGACCAGTGACTGCTGTTTACCAAAGAATTTTGTCTGGTTGTTTAATTGCTCCCTGTTTTTGTCTAACATTTGTATTTTGTAACATAATCTTTTAAAATAAAGCATATAATGTAATAACAAAATCACTCTTGAA